TCTCTGATTACTCCTTGGAATGAGTAAGATTACATTTCCTCATTCTAAATAATATTCTCTCTAGCTCCTAAAGTTACTTGACTTGAAGAATGCAGTTAAAAATTATCTTTTGGATGCCCTGGCTGGTGTGGCTCAGTGTATTGAGCGCAGGCCAGCAAACCAAAAGATCACCAGTTTGATTCCCTGTCAGAGCACATGCCTGGAATGCAGATCAGGTCCCCAGTAGGGAGTGTGGGAGATGCAACCACATATTGATGTTTCTCTCCCTTTTTTTCTTCCTCCCTCCCCCTCTCTCTAAAAATAAATAAATTAAATATTTTAAAATTTTAAAAATCACCTCCTGGAAATCTATGTAGATATGAATGAAACTGCAACACATAAAACAAAGGGTGTGATATCTTCTCCAAGGACAAAGTAGACTTGACTCATTTATCCACTTTCAGTGCAAATGTTAATTTTGACAAATTCTATTTAATCTCTAAACTTCTTGCCAAAGAAAATGAAATGATCTCATTGATAAACACCTCTTACAGAACACATTTAAAAAAGGGGTGTGGTTTGATTACATGTGATATGGAGGTTTTCACAATGAGAGTGTTTGGTCATTTTAGTTTCCTCACAAGTGGAAAAGCATTTAGTGAAATTTTTGACTTTGTACAAATGGAAGACAATAGTTTCCTAAACATGTGCCCATAAGATGGCTATCATTGTTGCCATCCATAGAAAAGATGTTAAATGTTGGCCTGAAATAAAATCACATTTTCAAGTGTGGAACAAGACTTGGGGTGGTGAACACATAATACAGTGTACAGATGATGTGTTGTAGAACTGTGCAGCTGAAACCTGTATAATTTTGTTAACCAGTGTCTTCCCAATAAATGCAAAAAAAAGGAAAACAAAATAAAAACAAAACAAAGTATGGAACAAGAAGGTCTTGCTCCCATTGGGAAACATGTTGAAGATGAGAATGAAGAGAAAGATTATAGTGGAAAAGAAATGAACTTGTTGATCCTCCAAAACTATGTAATAACCTTTGAAGGGGCCGTAAGGAATCTAGAAAATGAACAACCAAGTGCATTTGAGTCATTCAATATTGTATGTAGATTGTGACAAAAAATTTCAAAGGAAGAAAAAGAAAGACTTTGGGAGGCGGGGAATAAGACATTTTTAGAGCTTAAAAAAAAAAGTCCCTAGAAAAAGACAACCAAGTTAAACAGAACTTTCTGAGGAGCGGGTAAAAGGGGGATAAATGGTGCTGGGAGGAGACTTGACTTGGGGTGGTGAATACATAATACAACATGCAAATGATGTGTTATAGAATTGTACATCTGAAACCTACATAATTTTAGTAACCAATGTTACCCCAATAAATTCAATTTAAGAAACTTTCTTTTTTTTTTTACTAAAACTGTGAACTTAGTTGGAGTCTAACTTCAGTTTCACAAGTCCAAATACCTCTATTCTTTAAAAACATTTTCCCTGGGAAGAGAGGTTTAACTTAATATGATGTACAATGTGCTTTAGAGTGTTTTAAAAACGATGGGCATTTTAAATAGGGAGATCCTTCATGGTTAATTTATAGATGCAAAGAACACAACTGACAAACAGTTGGTTTACCAAACAGGTCAATAGATACAACATGGGTGGACATTTGGGAGAGCTGGAAATGAATTCCAACAAGTTTAAAACTTTGCCATGCCAGTAAATAAAATCCTAAGTATGCTATGCTCAAACACTTTTGTTGAGAGAATATGTAGCTTGGCGTTGTTTGTTCCAACAATAGGAATCAGGGCAATGTAGGCAGAAGAACAGAACTGCAGTTGAAATTAATTTTATAGTTGACTGTATTTAGTTTTACACATAGAAGAAAAGAAAGATATCCTAAAGGTTCAGGGATGTATTAATGGAAAAGGAAGCAGAAAGAATAAAAATATCCCACTGTATCATGAGACAGAATTTTTAAATTTAATATAGGTAATATGTTTAATTAGTTCTATTGTATTTACATTCTCCTTTAAAATTAGTACAGAAACATAAAGATATCATTGTATTTTTCTCACCCATATTATTTGCTTAATTAGTCCTATTACTAGTTGCCATTTTTAACTAGTCCTATTGTTATTTTTTTAAGTAATAGCATTTATGAAACAAAAGAAATATAACAGAATACATAATTTCAAGTAAGTACAAAATTTTAGTTTTTAAATTAAAGTAATAATATATGTGTAGTTATATATTATTATTATTTATTTTCATATACATCAGATTGGCGAAAATAAAAACAGTAGGACATTTCCAAATGTTAGCAAGGATGTTTAGAAAAAGAATCTCATTTACTGCTTATGGAGTATAAACTGGTATAACCACTTTGTGAAATAATCCAGCAATATCTAGTATATTTAGTATATTAGTTTTCAATTGCTGTGTAACAAATTACTAGAAACCTAGTATCCTAAAACACTTTATCATCCCACACTTTCTTCAGGCCCGAAGTCCAAGGACAACCTAGCTGGTTCCCCTGTTCGGGGTGTCACAAGGCTTCAATCAAGGTATAAGTCAAGTCATGTTTTCATCAGGAGGCTTGAATGGGGAAGAGCCTTTTTCCAAGCTTTCTCAGGTTGTGGGTAGAATTCATTTCCTTGTGGTTGTAGGACTGAGGGAGCTAGCTTCTTAGAGGCTATCACCTGGAGGCTGTACTCAGGTCTGTGTAGCCACCCACAGCTTTGTGGCACATGTCACAAACCTTCTCTGTGTGCAGTTCACAACATGACAGCTCACTTCTTCAAGGCCAGCAGGAGAATATCTATCTCCAGGTTCCTAAGATACTTACATATGAAATGTGATCATGGGAGTGACATCACATCAATAGAACTGTTGTCACATTCTGTTGGCAAAGTCACAGGTCCTACCCACAGCAACACTGGGAGGCCAAGGTCATGGGTCCATTTTAGAATTCTGCCTACCATGTCAAGTAAAGTTAAAGATGCGATGTCCTAGGATCTAGCAGTTTCCCTGTATACATGAAGATGTGTACAAGAATGTTCATATCAGCATTGTTTGTAATAGCAAAACTATTGTTTTATAGTTTTTAAATTTCTCAAAATACAAATATATATAGTCAGAGAGACATTAGCTAATAAAACACCATGTATGTTATAACATTTTTATTAAGGCAACATATATATGGGAATTATGTTTCAGTGATGGCCTACCACTGTTTTGAACAAATCCTCCCACCATTGAGAACAGGACAAAATATAAAAAACATTAAGGCAATGAACTGCTACCATGGCAGTGAGAATTTGTGGGTCCAAGAACTGGAAGACAGGGTAGCTGTAAGAGATGAGCCAGACATTTGCCATCACTTTTCTACCTGAAGCTATTGCTAACTATGAAAGCAGGGGCTAAGTAAAGCTTTTGGCTGTTCCATTGGGCTTAAGAGACCTGGCACTAGTAAATGCGCCAGACTTTTGGTTGTGTTAACTTAAAAATGAAAGACCTTTCAAAGCGAGAGGCAACAAGCATTTACTTGAGATCAAAGGATAGCTATTTAGGAATCACTGATTCAGACAGAAACTCAAATAGTGTTCCAATTAGAGACATACACAACAGATATTTATGAGAATGTAAGGAGAACGACTACATCAATAGAAGAAAATAATTTCTATTGGTGCAGTAACATAACATGATGCTGATTTCAAACAGTTTTTAAAATTTTCAGTCTGGTGGTCATCGGTCTAGTAGAAATAATATCTACTTTCTTGTTATCTTTGCAAACAGTACTTTGGGACACAATGTTGCTTTAAGTCCAGTCCAAAGGTTGTTTTGCCCCGTTTTAACATTCCATAGGTTTGAGGCATAAGATCTGCAAGGCAGTTCCTGTTAGATGACAGTTCCAGCTCCATTTTAAAGTGATTCTGTTTATATTATTATTATTTTTTTTTTACAGTTGAAATCCTCAAGGGATACCCTAGCTAGGAGTAAGGGTGAACTGAAATAAACTAGTATTCACTAAGACTAAAGTCCAGCTCTGAATCTTAGTCCCTAATTGGGTCAAAGTGATCTGTCCTCAGCTTTACTGTGGTCAGGCATAGTTTCCCCTAAGTCTCTCAGAATACCTTCTCTTTCCCTTAGCACCTTTGCTCAAACTCAACTCTGATGGGAAATACTTATGCTGTGGAGTGAGAGCTAGGAGAAATGAACATTGTATAGCCTAGGATTCATGTAGTGTGATCTTCTCCCCCACACTTATACATGTATTAAGCGACCCCATCTCGTTCAGCTTGCTTCTTCGCAGGTGTTTTTAATCTATATAATAAATCATGTTATATGTAACTTTCTATTCCTTGACCTCTGCTTGTCTGGCTTCAGTCTTTCTTCTTTTGAAGCCACTGCTCAAAAAGAATTCGCTAAAAAGAAAAAAAAATTCCATCAAATTTAACAGTTACAATTATTTGCCCCAAATTTTCGTTTGAGGCACTGAGAGTAAAGCAAGTACTTGTGTTTTACCTATGTCTCAATGATTTTTGATACTTATAAATTATTAGGCAAAGGGTATGAGAGAGAACGAAAAAAAAAAAGGAATAATCAGAAGCTTCCTCAAAAGTTAAACTGCCTCAGCCTTCATTCATCCCATTCTCCACTCAATAAACATTTATTTGATTCCATGGTGTTAGAGGCTAAATACGGATAGAGATGAGTGAGGATCGATAGGACTCGAAGAGCTTCGAAGACAGCTTTGTAGACTTAACTTTGCAATTCAGCCTAAGAAGTACAGTTTCATTGTCACTCTACCACGACTCTACAACCTTTGCCACTGACCGCGAACCTGACACTTTCTACCTCGCCTCCGACTTTTCTACTGGTTCGGGGTTAACCGCGAGGACTTCCAGTGAAAAGCCGTTGAAACACTACATCTCCCAGTAGTCTCTGCAGCAGGGCCGCGGAGGGGCGTGCGCAGGCACGTGGGCCGGCCCCCCGCGCGCAGACGCGCTGCGAACGCCGGCTGAGCTAGATCTCGCTGCTGGGTGCGCGGTGGTGAAGAGCGAGGCCTGGTGAGCACCGCCTAGGTGCGAGCCGATTCTTCGGGGTTGAGTACGCGATAGTTTCGGCAGGCCGGCGAGCGAGCCAACGGTTCACCCCAAGTGGCACCGGGATCGGTTGCCGTTAGCCTGGTGAGTGCGGGGCTCTCGCAGTCTCGGCCCCTCCCCCTCCCCGGCGGATCCGGCAGTTCGGCGGGACCCGAGGTCCCGCGGCCAGGGCGGGCGCCGGCCGAGCTCTAGCTGGGGTTGTTGGGCCCAGGCGCCCGTGGCGCGGCGCGTCTGTGCGTCATAGGCCCGGCTGGCCTAACGGCCGCGCGACCGGAGGAGGGTAGGGTGGGGGTGGGGAGCGCTAGTGCGGTAGCTGTAGGGAACGCCGGTTGAGGCGGGGCGAGGCGGTGGGGCTGGGAGCGGCGCCGGGGACTGCGGGCTGCGGAGGCTGCGGGGTGGAGAGGAGGCAGCCGCGGAGCCTGCGCCGCGGCCCTGCCCTAGGGGGCGGGGGGCGGGGGTGGGTACCTCCGAGTGCTGAGACTGAAGCGGGAAAGAGGGGGCGGGATGGGGGTTACGGTAAAGATCCTAACCTAGGCGGGAAGGGACCGTCTCGGGAATTCACAAGTTGCAGCCCGAGCAGGAGCCGGTGGTTTGGAGGGAGGTGCGGTGGAGGAGAACGACTGCAGTTTACCAATGTCATAACAACATGGGCCTGAAGCGGCTGACAGGGGTGTGGTAATTATAGGAATGGCAGAACTTCGTTTGTACACAGTATGTGTGAGTGGTGATTCGAGGGAAACGGCGAAGTATCAGATTAAGCTCAAAAGAGGAGGAGTAAACTGGAGGATGACTGCAGTCAGGGAAGTCGTCTGGAAGGAACATTTTTGGTTTGAATGGAGGTATTTAATCTTCCATTTACAAGTGTAAGATTTCACAATAACTGAATTTTAAGGTTTAAGTTTAGAATAGACAATTTCGAAGTATCTTCTAAAACATAGTGTTAAATAACTACTAATTTTTCCAATCCTTTTTTCTTTTAATGAACAGTTCTTTCAAAATCTGTTTCTTAGTCGTAGACGAGTGATTTTTTCCTTCCTCTTGTTGCTTCAAGTCTCATTCTTGACATTGTTTTTTCAAACTTGTTCTTGGATTTGTAATATTTTGAAAGTAATAAGTATTCCCTGTTTTAAAAATTGGAGGGATGAAATCTTCTCAAAGGAAAGTGAGAGTGAACTCCTGTATTTTTACTGTAATAATTTGTTCTTGGAAGGGACTGTTCTAGGTATAATACCTGATTTTAAGATTGAGGACATGAACGAAAGTAAAGGAATTAACATTTATTGAGGTCCCTTCCAGGTATTGTGCTAAATATTTTTTATATTAAAACATTTAATGCTTACAGTAGCTCTGAAGTAGGTATCAATTTTTCTTGTTCTACAGATGAAAACTTTGAAGGTCATAGAAGTTAAGTAACTTAGGTAAGGTCATCCAGCTCCTGTTGGAACCAGCTTTAGAACCTAAAGTTACTGCCATTGTAAGAATTACTCGCCCTCTTCTTTCATACTTCTTAGTTGTTTTCTTTCTTTAATTCATTCATTCAGTGAATACTTACAGAATGATCATGTGCCTCAGACTGGGGATATAGACATGATCATGATACTGTTTCTGCCCTCATGGAATTTATAGTATAGGGGAAGACTAACAAATATTGAATGTATTATAAATACTATGTGACATTTAGTTTGTCATAATTAAGCAGAAACTGTAAAGTACTCTACTGAATAGCAAAGGAAGTTCAAATAGAATCAAACAACATAATCCTTTAGTTTACAGTCTAGTAGGGAAACAAAACATTTTATTAATACCTACAATAAATTAAATGGCAGAAATAAATGCCTTGCCTGAAGTCAATATAATTGCATTGTTACTTGAGGTCCTCATAGACGTTTCTTCACAGAACTGTGATTCAACATTATGCACCTAGACTTTTATCTAGGATTGGTACGCAAGAAAAAGCAACATGGGGAAAAAAAAAACTTCATTGCTATCCAAGACACTATTTCTAATTTATCAATTTTTATAAAGCAGAGACCCTTAGAGACAGGTTCCCCCTCCCACCCCCCAAACCCCGATAGGCTTTTTTTAAAAAAAAAAAACAACAAATAACTGCTTCTTTTAGATAATTTGTGTTTTGTGTCTTGTTTCTCTTTATACTTCGGCTTCAGGAGACTCAGAACTCAGGCCAGTTTTTTGTAATTTTCCGTCGTCTCAAATATGTTATAAATTATACCAGATAGTCTGGAATTGTTCTTAATTGATTCCTTTACTATTTTCTTTGTTCCCCCTTGCTCCTGATTTTTTCCCTCTTTCCTTTGAAAGTAGGGATTATATCTTCTTATTTTAATTTACAAGTGTAAAATAAACAATAGTGTTTATTGAATTGATGATAAAGTCTTGATGATGTCTGATGTTTGTGTTTTTACATCTGTCAGATTGTTTTTAGAAATATGTATGGATACTTTGGAGAAAATCAATTAAGACTTGTGGCCATGCAAGTAAAGATGACTGATCCTAGTGATAAAGATAATTCCTTACTACTCTCGTTGTATTAAGATCTTGGTACTTTGCAGGGTATTATGAATTCAGCCATAATGGAAGAAAACATTGGAAATGATCAACAATTTAATTAGCTGATTGGGTCTGATTTCATTCTGTTTTTGCTACAGTAAGCTGGAGGTGGTCCCAGGCCAAAGAGGGGCCAGACAGGGCCCTCATTAGGACATTTCGAGGCCCTGCAGTGAAAGAGTAGGAATAAAGACTGATGGAACTGTACAGTTGTTGTTGTTGTTGTTGTTTTTGGTCTGTTTTTGTTTTGTTTCAAAGATGTTCCAACTCTACGAAACAGACCTAAGTGATAAAAGGGTTCTGCCTAGTGTAGTAGACTAATTGGGATAGTTCTTGAAAGCAGGCAATAATCCAGAATGTAGATAATGGGAATAATCTCCTACACATAACAAGAATAATGCTGCCCTTCATATACAGAGATAAGTCTGCTTACTCACCATCATTGATTTTCCAGTGTGAGGAGAGAAATGTGTGGCATTGTCCATGGGTCTCTGCACAACAAAGCAGCTTGAGGTCAGAATGTGGGTTTGTAGCTAGGGAACCTGAGAGACAAGCAGAAAGTTGTAACCTCTATTGATGGGTCCAGCACTGTATCAGGTGCTTTCACTAAATTAATCCTTTTAAAACCACTGAGGAGGTGGTTATGTGTACAGGGCGGTTAGCTAACTTGCCCTACTTCACACAGTAAGTAGTGGAGCTTTAATTCAAACACAGGGGTATTTGGACTATTCACATCAGTCATTAGAACTTGATTTTGTTTTGGTTTGCAGTTCAGTGTCTCCAGCAGAACAAGCTATATGTATTTTGTTTAGCATCATGAAATGATATTGAGAAGATTTAATTAACTAAGAGCTGAAAGGCTGTTCCTTACTTGTTGCTGTTAAAAAAATACAATTTTAGAGTTAGAATAATAACTCAAAGCAACTGTTCCCTGTCCCAGCCTGTACACATTTGAGGCTACTGTTTTCTTTCTTTTAGCTGTTTCCTCTTTCATATTTATAAATAACTTGGTTCTGTTGCTCTTTCTTGATATAGCAGTTTTTGGACATTGTCATTTGACTGGCTTTTCTCTATATCTCCACACTGCCTCTCCCATCCTCCCCATATAATTATCACAGGTGTTTATGAAGTTAATATTCAGTGTTTTTGCAGTATTTAAGCTTTAACTATTAACAGCTGAATCATGTAGAGTATTATGTTACTTATTCACTTAAACAATTCAGTTTTTCTAGGAGTTATTACCCGCCCCTACCCATCACCTTTCATTTCCTAAGACAGTTGTCCTGCAACCCTCAAGCCTTTTAATACTTTCTGGACTAGTTACTTTCTAGGCCTCCTTCATAATTGTTATCCTGGAATTTCTCTCTTTGTCAATCCTATAGTGGGTCTTTTATTTCCCACATTTTCTTAGCTTCCTGAGAAAGAATACCTGGAAAGTAAAGTAAAAACTTCATGAGAGCTTGCATGATTGGAAAAAAAAATCCTTATTCTACCCTAACATTTTATTCAGTAATTTTGCTGGGTATTAAATTCTAGGGTTAAAAATGTTGGAAGTCATAGCTCTATTTTCTGTATTCTAGTATTGCCATTGAAATTCAAAGCCATTCTGATTCTTCTCTTTTTTTTTTTTTTTTATGATCTTCCCTGTCATTCCTTCAGTGTCTAGAAGCTTTTAGGATATTATTTTTAACCCCTGAATTCCATATTGATGTGCCTAGATGTGTGTCTTTTTTCATGTAAAGGCACTCCATGGACACATAAGCTGGAAATTCATGTCTGTTATTTCTGGGAAATTCCTTTTATTATTACTATTTTATTACTTTTTGGTAACAAGGTTTTGAAGTAATTATGCTTCTCAGTTCTTGACACCTGTGAACAGACCATACACACCCTTTAAATTTTTCTCTTTCATTTCTGAGGGCTACTTCCATTGCCCTTTCCAGCGAGCACCTACTTCATTGTGGTTGATATGCCTCTGGATTATATATGAGTCATTGTAAAATGTGTAGAGGGTTAAGTGTATGTGTTTAGTTTATGTACAGTCATTGTCATGCCACTTAATGACATTTTAGTCAACAACAGACTGCGTATACTACAGTGGTCCCATGAGATAATGGAGCTGAAAAATTCCTGTCGAATAGTGACATCATGACATCTGAGCCCATGTGTCTGTGGTGATGATGATATGAACAGACCTATTGTACTGTCAGTCATATAAAAGTATAGCATATGCAATTACAGTTCTAGGTTGTACCGTGTAGGTTTAAGTGTCCTCCATGATGTTTGCACAAGAAAGTATAGCATATGCAATTACAGTTCTAGGTTGTACCGTGTAGGTTTAAGTGTCCTCCATGATGTTTGCACAAGATGAATCATTTAACATCACATTTCTCTGACAGTATCCCCATAGTTAGGTTGCACATGACTGTACAGCTGACTCTCGAGCACCTCGAGTTGGAGCACCAACCACCATGCAGTACAAAATAGAAGTATAACTTGATTCCCCCAAAATGTAGTTG